CCGGGAGGCCCAGGAGCTGGTGGCTCGGGGGCTGCGGGTCAAGGTGAGCGAGGCCTACCGGTTCCGCGTGGCGCTGCCCGCCTACCCGGCGTCACTCACCGACGTCTCCCTGGCGCTGGGTGAGCTGAGGCCCAACGACTCCGGCATCTACCGCTGCGAGGTCCAGCACGGCATAGACGACAGCAGCGATGCTGTGGAGGTCAAGGTCAAAGGTGAGAGCACAGGGGCAGAGAGAAGTCCCCCCCCCGCCCCAGTGGAGGGAAGGACTCCAGCCCTCAGGGAGCCCACAGTCTGAGGGGTGCAAACACCCCTGGAGGACAGACTGAGTTGGGAAAGGACTGACCAGATACAGCCTTTTGTCACCGCCTTTCCATCAAGTGGAGGAAATGCTACCTGTAGCCTCACTTGAGCCCCTCCTTCCGCAGGGAGTGTAATTTACCCCGTGTGGACAGATGAGTGACAAGAAGGGGGCGGGCGGTCAGTGTGCAGGATGACCCTGCCTCCAGGAGTACTCTCTGCCCCTCAGGGGTCGTCTTTCTCTACCGGGAGGGCTCTGCCCGCTATGCCTTCTCCTTCACTGGGGCCCAGGAGGCCTGTGCCCGCATCGGCGCCCGCATCGCCACCCCAGAGCAGCTCTATGCGGCCTATCTGGGGGGCTATGAGCAGTGTGATGCTGGCTGGCTGTCCGACCAGACTGTGAGGTAAGCTGGGGCTGTGAACCAGGGGCTTCTAGTCGTGTCTGAGGTTCTGCCAGGGGCTGCCTGCTGCCTCAAGTTGGCCACAGGGGCACCCTGCCTCCTGGGAATGAAGTTGGTCTTCGGAGAATGGGTGAGGATCTGCCATGGGGGTGTTTGCCCCCCAGGGCTGGGAGGCCAACTGGCTGCATGGAAGGCAATGTGATTTGGGAAGGTCACCATGGGTGGCTCCCTCGTGAAGGCGTCTGTCCTCCATCCCCAGGTATCCCATCCAGACTCCGCGAGAGGCCTGTTACGGAGACATGGATGGCTTCCCTGGTGTCCGAAACTATGGCGTGGTGGACCCGAGTGACCTCTATGATGTCTACTGCTATGCTGAAGACCTCAATGGTGATTGGGGATGAGGGGCTCCCAAGGGACAAGCCCCTTCTCTAGTGTTGCCCATGGGTCCTCCTGGGGCCTCTGCTGGACCTTATTGCCCTTCATGTGTTTAAGGGGGAAGCCAGGGGGAAGGAAACAATTGATGTCCCTCCCTCCAAATACTGTCATAGAGGCAAGTTCATGGTCAAAGCCTAAGGCACGTGGTAGGAGACTGCGTTTGTGCTTTGACTCTGCTGTGCATCTCTCTACCTCTTAGCATCTCTAGGCCTTGTTTCCGTCTTTGCAGCATGAGGAAGTTGGGCTAGGTCCCTTTGAGCAATAATATCCACCCTGAGCTTCTACCCAGACTTTGATCCTACGAAGCAGGATAATTGACTCCATGTCACAGATAAGGAGACTGAGGCCTAGAGAAGCTTGCCCCGGGTCCCTGTTGGAATCCAGGGTAGAAGGGGCTACTAACTTCCTGGTAACCCAGCCTCCTCTGCCCTCCAGGAGAGCTGTTCCTGGGCGCCCCCCCAGACAAGCTGACATTGGAGGAGGCACGGGCATACTGCCAGGAGCGAGGAGCAGAGATCGCCACCACGGGCCAGCTATATGCAGCCTGGGATGGTGGCTTGGACCGCTGCAGCCCAGGCTGGCTGGCCGATGGCAGCGTGCGCTACCCCATCATCACACCCAGCCAGCGCTGTGGTGGGGGTCTGCCCGGTGTCAAGACTCTCTTCCTCTTCCCCAACCAGACCGGCTTCCCTAACAAGCACAGCCGCTTCAACGTCTATTGCTTCAGAGGTGAGCCCACCTTCCTGTGGGGACTGAGACCAACCTCACAGGGACAGATCAGCCCTGAAGTCCTACCCCCGCTCTGATCGTTTCCTCTCAAGGTCTTTGCCATCTGCCTGAAGGAGGCTTTGGTGATGCTCAGCTTGTCACTAGGGTTCTAATTCTGGTCACATCCTCTGGCTTGGCTATGTGGCCTCAAGGAGTGCTCACTTCTCTGTATCTTCTCACCTCCCATATCGGGCTACCAAGTATGTTTCCATTTCTGGTCCTCTCATTAGCAGAGCAGAGATGACCGACAATCTCTGAATGCAATGAATGATTCACTCTAGTTAACCAAATGCCCTTAAGTGCCATCAAAGGGGTTTCTGGAACCTTCAGCTTGAAGGTGTCATATCTTTAACCACCAAATATTGATGGACAGACACAGGTTCACCCACAGAGAGCAGGTCCTTAAGGACAGTTGGATGTAGAGATGGCTTCCTGCCCACATCGTATATTGGGAGATGGGGGGAGCAGTGCCTGGGACCCCCAGAGGCACAGGGCCCAGGCTAAAGGTGACTACAAATCAGGGAGGAATTGATGTTAGGTGTCTGAGTCCTTGCTCCAATTGTGAGCTTGTGGTACTGGTACAAGGGCTGGAAGCAGAAATGTGAGAAGGCACAGCTTTTGCCATGGAAGCCCCCAACGTGAGGGAAGACAAGACAGCTTGCTCTTAACAAGATGGAGACTGAGAGACAAGGATTACTTTCACTGAGACCGATCCCCAGGCATGTTTGACCTGGGATGGATGTGGGGATGGATAGGGAAGTGAAGCCCATAGGAAGACAGGTCCATCTGAAAAGATTTCCTGGAACAGGGGTGGTGAAGATGATGATGGTGGTGGTGGTAGTGATGATGATGATAGCTAGCACTTCTATGCACTGATTATGATTATGTGGGGGAAATGGAGAGAGGGACTGAATCAGGAGGGGGGAGAAGAGGAGATGACTATGGTTGTGAGCAGGTGGAGGACAGGCACGCAGGGCACGGGTTTGCTGGTCTCGTATTAGCAAGGCTCACTGGAGCAGGTGACGAGGGCAGGACATGCTGTCCTGTTTCATCTGGCTGAGCACAGATGGCCCTCAGGGCTTTTCTTAGCCCAATTCCACCGTCACTTCATTGGTTTTCTTCTCTTGGTTTACTTCCCTAGAGACAAGGTAATCTATTCTAAAACTGTCATTTGAAGGGAGTAGACCCGAAGGATAGGGTGACTCCTGCCTTTGCGCTCTTGTCCCCGTACGGAGATCCTCAGGTGGTGACTGTTGAATGTTCTCCTGTCCTCTGCCCGCCAGCTTCCTGCAGTGATGGCAGCCTGTCCCCTTCCATTGCAAAAGCCTTGGGATGACTGAGCTCCCTCACACCTTGCCCCAAACCCAAGGTGCGGGGGCCATTCTGTCCATCCTACCTCCATCCTTTACTCAAGGGAAGATCTCTCCCTGGAGCCTTTCTTTACCATTCCATATACAGTAGTGCTTCCCATCCCATTCCCTTATATATTAACATTATAATACATGTGTATTTGTTTATTATCTGTATCTGAAATATAAATCCCCTTGTGGGCAGGAAGCTTGCTCTTTTGCTCTTCACTGTATTCTCAATGCCCTGGAGAATGCTTGGCATGACACACATTGGGCACTTGATTAATGCTTGAGGAACAAGTGATGAAGTCCTAGGGTGCTTCTGTGGCCCCATGGGGGCTCCACAGGGAAAATGAGAGAGAACTGAGAGAATTCCATGGCTTCTGAGTCTAACCCAAAACCCTCACATGTAGGCTGTGACCTGGGAGGACAGAGCCACCTATGTAACACCCCCAATGGCACTTAACTCCCACCACAGACTCTGCCCAGCCCTCTACCATCCCCGAGGACTCCAACCCATCCTCTGACCCAGCTTCTGATGGACTGGAGGCCATTGTAACAGTGACAGAGACCCTGGAGGAACTGCAGCTGCCTCAGGAAGCTGTGGAGAGTGAGTCCCGAGGAGCCATCTACTCCATCCCCATCATAGAGGATGGAGGAGGTGCAAGCTCCACTCCGGAAGACCCAGCAGAGGCCCCTAAAACCCTTCAAGGTAATGCAAATCCCTTACACTGGAGAGGTCTGCACATGAGATACTGGGGGCATAAGCCCAGCTTGATGCTGGGGTTATGGCAGCAGGACTCTGTCCTGTCCTTTCTCAGCAGCTCAACAGTGCAAGGCACCTCACCTGTTCCTCTTCCAATCTTTGCCTTTCCAGAATATTCCACCCCCAACTCTCTGAGTCTAGAGCTGTTTGGATTAAGGAGCTGCTCCTCTTTTGTTTGGTCTCTCCTCTCCCTCACCTAGCCAAAGTAGACCAGAGAATTTTAACAGACTAGGAGAGGGAGACGCAAGGACCATGTTTTCCTGGGATAATGACAGCTCACAGAGCCTTCAACATTGCAGCTCCTGTTGCAATTCTTCTGGTGTGGAGCAAAGACAGCTTCTCCCCAGGGCAGGCTCTTTCCTCTCCCCCAGTCCTCACCAACCCCTTCTTCCCCTTTCCCTTCCCCTTTTCTATCTTCTGACGGACGCTGTCCCTGGTGCTGAATCATCTGTGCTTTGCCTAGAATTCGAACCCCAATCCATTGTACCTCCCATGGGATCATCAGAAGAGGAAGGCAAGGCAATGGAGGAAGAAGAGAAATACAAGGATGAAAAAGAAAAAGAGGAGGAGGAGGAAGAAGAGGAGGATGTGGAGGATGAGGACCTGTGGGCCTGGCCCAGCGAGCTCAGCAGCCCGGACCCAGAAGTCCCTCTCCCCAGTGAGCTGGACCTCGAGGACTCACTCTCCCAGGCATCCCAGTCACCAGCAGTCCTACACCCCGGTGCATCACCACCTCCCAATGGAGAGCCAGAGGCCCCCAGGCCGCCAAGGGTCCTAGGACCACCCACTGAGACTCTGCCCACTCCCAGGGAGGGGAACCTGGCTTCACCTTTCACTCCCATTGGGGCAAGAGAGGTGGGGGAAGAGACTGGGCGTCCTGAGCTGTTGGGGGTCCCTCGAGGAGAGAGCGAGGAGACAGGGAGCTCCGAGGATGCCCCTGCTCTGCTTCCAGCCACACGGGCCCCTGGGGGTACCAGGGAGCTGGAGGCCCCCGCCAAAGAGAATTCTGGAAGAATTGTCCCAGCAGGGACCTCAGTGCAGGCCCAGCCAGTTCTGCCCACTGACAGCACCAGCCATGGTGGAGTGGCCGTGGCCCCCTCAGCAGGTAACTTTGCCCAAGGCTCAGCTTCCCTGTTTCTCCTCCTCCTTTTTCTCCCCCTGCAACTCTGAGTCACCTCACCTATAGTCCTTTAACCCACCATTGCCCAGATCTCCTGTCCTTTGCTTTTATTCTCCTACCCACCTCAACCTGTGGGCTTCCTATTTTGGATACCCCATCATGTGACTTCCATCCCAGCTCTGATTCCTCACCCTGTGGCCCCCCAACACCCTGACCCCCACCCTAAGACCCTCTCGCTGCTCACTCTATCACCCCAGCCCCACCACGGACTGTCTCAGACTCTTTCCTAGTCTTGGGCTCTCTACCTGTGACTCACATCTCACCAACCCCACAGAGCACCCTCAGGCCTCACGCACTAGGATGCCCTCATCACCTGTTGCCCTCTTCAAGGCCCAGGCTGGTCTCCCACTGCTCCCTTCCCCCTTCCTGTGTGCCATCCCCTTCAGCCACCTCCCACTGATATCAGGGAAGCCTGGGACCCCACCCCCACCTCTCACCCTCTGGGGTCCAGGAGACCCTGAATCCCACAGAGCCTTAAGCGACTACTTCTGTGAAGTATTTTTTCATTTGTTTCATGGAAAACAAGCCTTGGAAATAAATCTCTATTAAACTGCTTTATAACCAAAACTCTGGCACCCTCTGTCTCCACCCCCAGCTGTCTGCCCTTTGCATTCTATAGATCCATGTCATGGGTAGCTCTTTGATTCACTCTCTCTCTCTCTCTCTCTCTCTCTCTCTCTCTCTCTCTCTTACTTTCTCACCTTTCATCCCCCTCCCTCCCCCCTCTGTCTCCTTGCCTTGCGTTCGTTTTCATCTTCAGCCTAAACCTATTCCCCCTCCCTCCCCACTCTGTCTCTTTGCCTTGCGTTCGTTTTCATCTTCAGCCTAAACCTATCCAGTCCTAGCCATCTAACAGCCCTTTGCTGTTCTTTCATCCTGTCCTTCTCAGGCCTGTCTCCACTTTCCTTCCTGACTGCTGAGATCCCAAATCTGACTGCACATTTCCCAGAAAAGTCCTTGTCCATCCGTCTGTGAGAGTGTTGGGAGGTTTCTCCCTCACTCTTGGGGGGAGAACCTCCACAGCCTGGAGTGTGTGTGTGCGCGTTTGTATTCATTTCTGGTCCCTCTCAATGGCTCCCATATAGAGGCACATATACAGAGTAGTGACGAAAAAGTCCTTCTTAGCCTAGATGGGGTTCCCTGGCATCCAGGTGACCCAGAGCCCATGCCCCGCCCCTGGCATCTCAGCAGGGGGATGGTGTCTGACTTTCATCCTATTCCCACAGCCTTCCTGTCCCCCACTAACCCCTACACTAATGACTTCCTCCACCCCTTGGGGAGAATGGTTTCACTCTCCCTACACCCTAAGGATGTCAAAGTCCCAAATGCTGGAGAAGACAGAGATCAGGAGACAAGGGGAGGGAGGGAATGTAGAGGGCAGGGGAATGGGGCATTAGAGAAGCCCTACCTGCTCAGGGAAGGTTGGGCTTCCCAGTGGTGACTCCTACAGAAGGCTGGATGCCCTCAGGACCCCCTCTCCTAGATGGCCCAGGGTGGTCTAGGGGTCCCTGCATCACATCCAGGCTCACACATTTCAACTGTTGGCTCCCTCCCAGCTGACCTTGGCGTTCAGCGCTGGTGGGCGGGGAGGGGATTGGTGGGAAGAGGCGCACCATCTGCAGTGTGTTAGTTGCCCACGTGGAGGGTGAGGAAAGCCTCCTGGCCATTGCAGCAGAACGGAAGGAACAATGTTCGGGTCCTTACAGTAGTTGGGCCCAAAGAGGCGGAGGAAGGAAGACCAGAAAGTCTCAAGAGGAGTTTTTTCACCCCAATGTGCCTGTCCTGGCTCAGGTTTAGCTGGAGGTGGGAGTGGGGTGGGGGTA